CTGCTGAAGCAACCATTCCAGATGGAGGAGCTCATTTCTGTTCAGCAAATTCTATGTGGACTGTGGGACTCCTTAATGATTTTAACTCAGCACCCAGTTCAGTTTTTACTCCTGTTCTGTCAAACACCAGCCATCTCACAGGTAATGGAGTCCCAATCTTGCCAAAACAAAGCAAGTAATTTAAGTCCAAATGGTAACAGTCCAGGCTGGGAGGACTGAAGTGAAACTCAACCTAAGAGGTATCTTAGCAGAGATGTGTCTGTCCTGACTGGAAATGTTTCATAATAGCCCCACAAGAAAATACTGCCCCTTACCTTCAAAGTAAAAATTCTGCTTGGTGTTCTGATCTCAAAAACTCCTTCCCCATTTTCCACCTTGCAGTCAAAACTGGCGCTAGAGAGATCAATAGATCCCAAAGGGTTGATGTCCTGTGCAGTTCTGTAGTATAGTAAATGACACTTGTTTTCATCGTAAAAGAACCAGCGAGACTTCCAGGTCTTGACTGGTCCCTTGATGCCCAGCTTGTTTAAATAGCCACAGAGTTTTTTTCTGGATGCTTCTCTGCTTGGCTTCAGCTGTACATTTTCCAGTTCTCCAAAAGAGGAAAGCATGTCTTTCTTTTTCACTGAGGCTCCATTGCTGCTGTTACTGTCTGGATACGACTCCACTCCGCCTGGAGTGGTAAGGGAACAAGCTCCACTTTCCAGTCCTTTTTTCATCTTTTTCAGGAAATAGACTCAGAGTTCTATTGAAACAGGAAATTCTCTGAGTAAATAAGTAACAGAAGATCCCGAACTACTCAGGTCCACATAATTGTTATAGAATCTGCAGCAAATGAAAAGGAAGAATAAACTCAGGTCTGGCATACAACAAAAGACACTCACTAGCTTTCAAACTGCCTAGCCAAGGTCTCTGACTTCTTCAGTGCTGCCTGCCTTCCTTGGCTTAGATGACCTTTTTGTTCCTCTTTTCTCTCTTTTTCATTCCTACATTAGCCTGCACTACCAGCCAAGAAGTACTACCACAGCCTCTTAAGTGAAAAATAAGTACAGTCTATGAGCATACCAAATTAATAACAATAACCAGGGCATTTGAAGCCACAGACAACAGCTGCAGGAAACAACATTGCAAGATAACAAGCTCTGGCAGGGTCAGGAGATTTCAGGTAATTGTAGACTGGCATTTTCTCTAATGTTCAGCTAGTACTTTAAACCATGCTGCCTGGAAAAAATCCAGCCTTATGCTGCATCCCTATAAATCCTTTATGTCAGTTGAGAATTGATGTTAAAAAGCCCACGTAACATGTGTTCACCCTCCATCCAACAGACCTCATCTGATGGATCATGCACCAGAGAAAGTAATTCTGTGTTCCTTGCAAAAGAGACTTGGTTGCTCAGTGGCCAACGTAAGCTGCTGGGTTCCAAAGAGAAATGCAGAGTGCAAGAGAAAAATAGAAAAATAAGGCTGGAAGGGATCTGAGGAGATCTTTAGTTCAACCTCCCTCCCAGAGAAGAGGCCAACTCCAAAGCTGTAGCAAACTACTCGGGTCTACATTCAGATGACTTTTGATCATATGCAAGGATAGCAATTCTGTCACATTTCTGAGCACTTTTTCAAGTGCTCAAAAGCACATAGCAGGTGTGATTTTTTGCTCAGAGCTGCAGACATCCATGGTCCTTGTATAAAGAAAGCTAACAACATTCCAGAAAACACTTATAAATAATCTCCTGCATTGTTTTTCTTCAGTAAAAACGTGGTTTAAAGATCAATAAAAAGGCTACCAGAGACTTTGGTTCAGACAGTAACATATCTGAAGCAAATATGTATACAAATAAACTGTTGCAGTGTTAAGTTAGTGGCAATCCAACTGCAGACACGAAACTATTGGACATGACAGCCAGCTGTGTGACACCAGGTCAATGGAGATCAATACAGTGGAGCACACAGAGATGTTGCCCAAGCTCATGCTCTTCGGAACGATTCATCCTCATGACTGCAAAGCTTACCCATCCGAGCGCTGGCTAAGCCTCATCATGTTTATTGCTGCCCCCTCCTGTTCCCACATTAGCCTTTTAGACAACCACTGACCATGTTCATGCTTTTTGGAAAGCTGTAGAACATCTTTTAGTTCATTCCCCTGACACCATGGGTCTTGCTGCTGAATTCACTCACAAATGCCAGGAACAGACCTTCATGAAGGTGCTGACTCGGCTAAGCTTCTGAAACATCAAAAAGCCTGTTTTCCAAGCTAATGTTGCCTGGTACAAAGGAATAATCATCCGGAGCAAAAAGCAGTCTCAATTCTCCCTAACAGACCCTGTGGCTTTATGGCAGTACCAGCATAAGGACCTCCTGCACCATCCGAAGACTCTACAACACTTTTAGCTCTTGCCAGCACGGCATTCATGGGTCCACACCATGAACAGGATCTAATAAGCATTCTGAGTTCTAGCACCAGGTTATAAGGAGTCGTGCTGTAAGGCTCAGGGAAGACCTTATTGCTCTCTACAACTACCTGAAAGGAGGTTGTAGTGAGGTGGGGTTGGTCTCTTCTCCCCAGTAACAAGCGACAGGACAAGAGGTAACAGCCTCAAGCTGCGCCAGGGGAGGTTTAGATTGGATGTCAGGAACAATTTCTTCACAGAGAGGGTGCTCAGTCATTGGAACAGGCTGCCCAGAGCGGTGGTGGAATCACCATCCCTGGAAGTGTTCAAAAGCCGTGTAGATGAGGCCCTCAGTGATACAGTTTAGTGGTGGTCTTGGCAGTGCTGGGGTAATGGTTGGACTTGATGATCTTAAAGGTCTTTTCCAACCTACTTGATTCTATGATTCTATGTCAGAAGGGCATTGCAAAGAACTCTAGAGAAGATCTCACCTTCTTAACAGCAGAGAGATGCCCTGAAGTCACCGCCTGTTGGCATACAGCTACTGCTGCAGGCACCATGGAGCAGCCTCCAAAACAAACCCAACGGCAACAGAAGAAGGTCGTCTTCAAGTTTCCTTCCGTCCAGTCGCCGCCTGGGAACTGTCTGGAAGAGAGATGTAGCTGGAAGCAGCTCCGACACCGACTCAACAACGAAAAGACGAACCCTGCACAGCCCTTTCTGGATTTGCTGGTGTGACCAGCAGAAGGCAGCCCCCCCACAACCCCTGTCTGCCTCAGCGCCGCAGAAGCACCTCCCACCGCAGCTGCACCGCGCCAGGAC